CAATCAGTTTCAAAGACAAGGCATACAACATTATTGTTTGCAATGCTTTGCCACAAGTCCTGTGTGTGGTTAATGCAGTACCTGATTCCTTGCAAAAGGTAACTTATTTTGTGTTCGAACATCTTAACACCACCTGTTTTATTGACATAAAGGGTAAACACCTATTCTTATTTTTCATACACAAAGAGCTAACGCGATTAACGCTTTGAGTCAATGGGTCTAGTTCAGAGGTCGCAACCGGTTACCCGATACCCGTACCCTACCCGATACCCGGCTACCCGTACCCAGCCGGGTACGGATACCCGTTTGCGACCCTGGTGCGGCCGGGTATGAGTACGGGTAGGCCGTGAGTTTGTCACTCATTTCGGGTAGGGTACGGGTACGGGTAAGGAATCAAAACCCATTTGCGACCTCTGGTCTAGTTCTCCACCAGCAAATCAACATTCCACTCAAGTTCCGCTCATATCGGATCAACTCTACGAGAGCCCTACCCTGACCCCCCCCCACCCGCCCACGTTACACACAGACACGCACAGAGCGAATGCGATCTCCAGACGCGGCAAGGCAGCTGGTTCACCACAGTGGGCAACTCGCCGCACCAGCGCCCCACCGAGACGTACTTCAACTAAACTATAAAACTTTCTTTTATTTTACCAGGTAAGGACCCGCTGAGATATGTAGTAGCTCTTTTTCAGAAGGGCATCTGGCAATCAGAAATGATGGCTCAACGAAGTGGCTCATCATCATCGTTGTCACGTTGAAATTTACAGCGGTAGGGCAAATTCTCGAAAGGCGTGATGCCGATTCCAAAATGTGGCGAGGTGGTTAACATGCAAACTCCAAATACACAGCAGGTGACAGGTTCAGGATCTAATCCCCGATCTCCTGTATACCAAGCGAGGTGGTTCACATCTCACCACACGCAAACTCCAAACACACAGCAGGCGTCAGGGTCGGGATTGAACCCACGACCTCCTGTATACCAGGCAAGGTAGTTAACATCTCACCACATGCCAACCTCCAAATATACAGCAGCAGGCGTCAGGGTCGGGATCGAACCCACGACCCCCTGTATACCAGGCGAGGTAGTTAAGATCTCGCCACATGCCAACCTCCAAATATACAGCAGCAGGCGACAGGGTCGGGATCGAACCCACGACCTCCTGTATACCAGGCGAGGTAGTTAACATCTCGCCACATGCCAACCTCCAAATATACAGCAGCAGGCGTCAGGGTCGGGATCGAACCCACGACCTCCTGTATACCAGGCGAGGTAGTTAAGATCTCCTAGCCACCGTACTGGCTGGTCCAGCGTGGAAGAATAAATGAACGAACACTTGAATGGCTGAACCTTGATTGTTTTTACATTCGCAGCTCCGTCCATCGATTCACTGCTGCATGGATTGAGTGGGGGGGGGCTGTGGGGGGGGGGGCTGTGGGAGGGGGCTGTGGGGGGGGCTGTGGGGGGGTGGGGGGAGTGGTAGCGTAGTGGTTAGCGCTACGCTGCGCTACGAACCTGGCGACCCGGGTTCGATTCCCGCTAACGGCCAACACCGGTGACGATGATCTGAACCGGTGGTCCTGGGCCTCCCCTAGGTCGACTCAGCCTCAAATCATACTGGACATCGAGTGAAAAAGGGCCGTTCGTTAAAAAGCTTAACGCGAGGCGGTTAGACAAGCTCGGGGTTGACGAACGGGTCGAGAGAAGTCCAGCGGCCTCTCCAAAAAGTTTGGCTCAAATGCAGTTCGACCGTACTTCGCCACGCTGGTCAGCGGCAGGAGGATCGATAGAACAAAGCTGTCAACCCATTATCAGTGCCCCAAATTATTACGGCCCGATTCAGACCTCATTGGTCACCACCGTGCGTGCCCCTATTAAAATATCAACGTTCATCTTACAAAGAAGTCACCATCGCAAGGGAGAAACTCAAACAAATAGACGATTGTAATCTTTTTGGGCCCGTGTTGAAACGGCTGTACTCCCGTACGGACCTGAAAACTTCAATTTCCCTGTACAAGAATACGGGGTAAAGCCGTATTGGTTGACAGGTATTCACTACCCAGTGTCTCACCACCCAGTGTCTCACTACCCAGTGTCTCACTACCCAGTGTCTCACTACCCAGTGTCTCATCACCCAGTGTCTCGCCACCCAGTGTCTCGCCACCCAGTGTCTCGCTACCCAGTGTCTCACCACCCAGTGTCTCACCACCAGTGTCTCACTACCCAGTGTCTCACTAGCAGTATCTCACTACCCAGTGTCTCACTACCCAGTGTCTCACCACCCAGTGTCTCACTACCCAGTGTCTCACTACCCAGTGTCTCACTAGCAGTGTCTCACTACCAGTGTCTCACCACCAGTGTCTCACCACCAGTGTCTCGCTGCCCAGGGTCTCACCACCAGTGTCTCACTACCCAGTGTCTCACTACCCAGTGTCTCACCACCAGTGTCTCACTACCCAGTGTCTCACCACCAGTGTCTCCCTACCAGTGTCTCACCACCAGTGTCTCACTACCCAGTGTCTCACTACCCAGTGTCTCACTAGCAGTGTCTCACCACCAGTGTCTCACCACCCAGTGTCTCACCACCCAGTGTCTCACCACCCATTATCTCACCACCCAGTGTCTCACTACCCAGTGTCTCACGACCCAGTGTCTCACTAGCAGTGTCTCACCACCCAGTGTCTCGCCACCCAGTGTCTCACTACCCAGTGTCTCACCACCCAGTGTCTCACTACCCAGTGTCTCACTACCCAGTGTCTCGCTACCCAGTGTCTCGCTACCCAGTGTCTCACTACCCGGTGTCTCACCACCAGTGTCTCACCACCCAGTGTATCACCACCCAGTGTCTCACTACCCAGTGTCTCACTACCCAGTGTCTCATTACCCAGTGTCTCACCACCAGTGTCTCACCACCCAGTGTCTCACCACCCAGTGTCTCACTACCAGTGTCTCACTACCCAGTATCTCACCACCAGTGTCTCACCACCCAGTGTCTCACCACCCAGTGTCTCACCACCCAGTGTCTCACCACCAGTGTCTCACTACCCAGTGTCTCACCACCCAGTGTCTCACCACCGAGTGTCTCGCTACCCGTGTCTCACTACCCAGTGTCTCACTACCCAGTGTCTCACTATCCAGTGTCTCACTATCCAGTGTCTCACCACCAGGTGTCTCACTACCCAGTGTCTCACTACCCAGTGTCTCTGTACCCAGTGTCTCACCACCAGTGTCTCACTACCCAGTGTCTCACCACCAGTGTCTCACCACCCAGTGTCTCACCACCCAGTGTCTCACCACCAGTGTCTCACCACCCAGTGTCTCACCACCCAGTGTCTCACTACCCAGTGTCTCACTACCAAACCTGTCAGCCCCTATCAGTGCCCCCTACCTTATGACAGACCAACTCAGACCTGATTGGTCACCCCGTGCCCGTTATAAATATCAACGTTCATATTCTTAGGTGTTTTCGGTAAAGTCACGTAGGCAAAACATCAAAATTAATAAAATAATAAAATAAAAATAAAGATCACGACGTTTCGGAGGCAACACAAGTCTCCGTCATCAGGTGGGACAGTCACAGCCAGATCAGCTGTGACTGCAGTTGCAGTCACAGCTGATCTGGCTGTGACTGTCCCACCCTCAACCAGTATATATACAAGGACTGTTTTCTTGGAATTTATCTCACTTGATACAGCTGTCGTGCTGTGACGGTTCCACCTGAAGACGGAAGCTTGTGTTGCCTCCGAAACGTCGTGATTTTTATTTAACTTTTATTAATTTTAGTTTAATTTTTTCACCTACGTGACTTTACCGAAAAAACCCAAGAATATGAATCCTTGCAGTCACGAAAGCTTCAAATCTAGGACTTAAATGTCCCCCTGCACAAGAATACGAGGGGAAGGGTAAAAAATAAAAACCTCGTATGGGTTGACACGGGCTACGAGGAGAGAAAGAGGAGGAATTTGGCACCGCAACTTTTTGCGGTCAACGAAAAAAAAGTCGCCTGCAACTCACCGAGACGGTGATCGAGACAGCGGCTGAGGTGACACCGGCAACTTTTTTGTGGGTTGACGAGAAAAAAAGTCGCCTGCAACTCACCGAGACGGTGATCGAGACAGCGGCTGAGGTGACACCGGCAACTTTTTTGTGGGTTGACGAGAAAAAAAGTCGCCTGCAACTCACCGAGACGGTGATTGAAACAGCGGCTGAGGTGACACCGGCAACTTTTTTGTGGGTCAACTAAAAAAAGTCGCCTGCAACTCACCGAGACGGCGATCGAAACAGCGGCTGAGGTGACACCGGCAACTTTTTTGCGGTCAACTAAAAAAAGTCGCCTGCAACTCACCGAGACGGTGATCGAGACAGCGGCTGAGGTGACACCGGCAACTTTTTTGTGGGTTGACGAGAAAAAAAGTCGCCTGCAACTCACCGAGACGGTGATTGAAACAGCGGCTGAGGTAACACCGGCAACTTTTTTGCGGTCAACTAAAAAAAGTCGCCTGCAACTCACCGAGACGGCGATTGAAACAGCGGCTGAGGTGACACCGGCAACTTTTTGCGGTCAACTAAAAAAAGTCGCCTGCAACTCACCGAGACGGCGATCAAAACAGAGGCTGAGGTGACACCGGCAACTTTTTTGTGGGTCAACTAAAAAAAGTCGCCTGCAACTCACCGAGGCGGTGATCGAGACAGCGGCTGAGGTGACATCCGCAATTTTTCGTGGGTCGACGAGAAAAAGTCGCCTGCAACTCACCGAGACGGCGATTGAAACAGCGGCTAAGGTGACATCCGCAACTTTTTTCCGGTTCAACTAAAAAAAGTGGCCTGCAACTCACCGAGACGGCGATTGAAACAGCGGCTAAGGTGACATCCGCAACTTTTTTCCGGTTCAACTAAAAAAAGTCGCCTGCAACTCACCGAGACGGCGATCGAAACAGCGGCTGAGGTGACACCGGCAACTTTTTTGCGGTCAACGAAAAAAAAGTCGCTTTCAACTCACCGAGACGGCGATCGAGACAGCGGCCGAGGCGCCTGAGGCGGCATCCTCGTTGCTGGCCCCCTTCTTGCGCCGCGAAAACAGCTTCCCCACTCCGGCCATGCGATCGCCTACGCGTCCGACTCGCCCAGGCGACGGGGGGCGAACGCATCGGTTTGGTTCTTTTTAATTACGACGAAAGACAACATCGCCTCAGATATTGCCTCAGATATTGCCTCAGATGTCGTCTCAGATGTCGTCTCAGATGTCGCCTCAGATGTCGCCTCAGATGTCGCCTCAGATGTCGCCTCAGGTGTCGTCCCCGTTGCACGCGAACTCGCGCCGAGTCGCGCCGCCCGCTATTTAAAGGGCGCGAACCTCCCCTCGCCGCTTCCCATTGGTCCGAAGCTCAACGTCGTGACGTCATCACGCACGCACGCGTTTGGATGATTGGAGGAAGGTGACGTCATCACGCACGTACGCGTGTTGATGATGGGAGGGGGTGACGTCATCACGCACGCACGCTTTTTGACCACGGGAGGGTGACGTCATCACGCACGCACGCGTTTTGATGATGGGAGGGGGTGACGTCATCACGCACGTGCGGAGACGTACGCGTTTTGACGATGGGAGGAGGGGTGACGTCATCACGCACGTACGGAGACGCACGCGTTTTGATGATTGGAGGGGGGGTGACGTCATCACGCACGTACGGAGACGTACGCGTTTTGACGAAGGGAGGGAGGGGTGACGTCATCACGCACGTGCGGAGACGCTTGAGGGCCGTTAGCGGGATGACGTAACAGCTCAAGAATTGACTTTCGCCGGGGGGCGCGCTGTCTACAGTTATGACATCATAGCCCAATGTCAGGAACATGTGTGATGACGTCACGAAGCAAGCCCAAGTCCGAGGGTCATTTGGGGGATGACGTCATCACTCAAGAAACGACAGTGATGATGTAATGTCCCCTGTTGGCACACGCGTGAAGACGTCACAAAGCAACGCCACGTCCGAGAAAGGTTTGCGGGATGACGTCATCACTCGAGAAAGGACTTTCGCTGGGGCTCTACGCGCATTCATGGCAGATGACGTCATGGCGCATGTGCTAACAGCGGGGATGACGTCATCGCACACTGCAGGGCGCGGAGCCGTGAAACGACGTCACCAACTGAGGCCAAGTCCAAGTGCCGTTGCGGGGTGACGTCATCACGCACGGCCAAGTTCGAGAGCCGGTTGCGGGGTGACGTCATCACGCACGGCCAAGTTCGAGAGCCGGTTGCGGGGTGACGTCATCACGCACGGCCAAGTTCGAGAGCCGGTTGCGGGGTGACGTCATCACGCACGGCCAAGTTCGAGAGCCGGTTGCGGGGTGACGTCATCACGCACGGCCAAGTTCTCGAGCCGGTTGCGGGGTGACGTCATCACGCACGGCCAAGTTCGAGAGCCGGTTGCGGGGTGACGTCATCACGCACGGCCAAGTTCGAGAGCCGGTTGCGGGGTGACGTCATCACGCACGGCCAAGTTCGAGATCCGGTTGCGGGGTGACGTCATCACGCACGGCCAAGTTCGAGAGCCGGTTGCGAGGTGACGTCATCACGCACGGCGCCACGTGCGGGCAATGACTGCGGCGGGTGAAGTGACGTCACCCCCTCCCTTCTCAAGGGACACGGGAATGACGTAGTGACGTCATCTCCCCCTCTCGAGGGGCACGGGAATGACGTGGTGACGTCATCCGCCCTCTCGAGGGGCACGGGAATGACGTGGTGACGTCATCCCCCCCTCTCGAGGGGCACGGGAATGAGGTGGTGACGTCATCCCCCCCTCTCGAGGGTCACGGGAATGACGTGGTGACGTCATCCCCCCTCGAGGGGCACGGGAATGACATGGTGACGTCATCCCCCCCTCTCGAGGGGCACGGGAATGAGGTGACGTCATCCCCCCCTCTCGAGGGGCACGGGAATGACGTGGTGACGTCATCCCCCCCTCTCGAGGGTCACGGGAATGACGTGGTGACGTCATCCCCCCTCTCGAGGGGCACGGGAATGACGTGGTGACGTCATTTCTCCCTCTCGAGGAGCACGGGAATGACGTGACGTCATCCCCCCTCTCGAGGGGCACGGGTGCCTGGTGACGTCATCGATAGACAGCGCGTGATTACGTCACCAGGAGACACTGTGGGTCTCCCCCTGACAGCTCAGAATCTGAATGTTTGCCGACACTGGAGAAATCCGATGCGCTGTAAAGCGCTTTATCACAGAGATCATGGGTGGGGAAAGGAGGTGGGGTGTGGGGGGGGTTACTAACCATAGGGCACGTACATAAATGACGTCACGCGATTTTGGACGATTTTTGACCCCCCCCCCAACTCGTCACACGGCGTCACAAAAAGTCAGACCCCCCTCAAATATGACGTCACAAAACTCTGCCCCCCCCCAAAAAAAATATGCTTCAAATCGCTTTGAACTATTGTCATTGTAGTGCGTATTTAATGTGGCGCTGCACTCTGATGTTGTAGGAGGAAACATTTATACTGGTAGGAACCTCCTGGTTACACCAGCCCACAGGGGATTATTGTGTCCGTCCGTCGTGCAGGGAGGGGCTGGGTGGGGAGGGTGGGGAGGGGAGGGGTTGGGTGGAGAGGGGCTGGGTGGTGAGGGAGGGGAGGGGCTGGGTGGGGAGGGTGGGGAGGGGAGGGGTTGGGTGGAGAGGGGCTGGGTGGTGAGGGAGGGGAGGGGCTGGGTGGGGAGGGTGGGGAGGGGAGGGGTTGGGTGGGGAGGGGCTGGGTGGTGAGGGAGGGGAGGGGCTGGGTGGGGAGGGTTGGGAGGGGAGGGGTTGGGTGGGGAGGGGCTGGGTGGTGAGGGAGGGGAGGGGCTGGGTGGGGAGGGTAGGGAGGGTTGGGAGGGGAGGGGCTGGGTGGAGAGGGTAGGGCTGGGTGGAGAGGGTGGGGAGGGGCTGGGTGGGGAGGTGCTGGGTGGGGAGGGGCTGGGTGGTGAGGGAGGGGAGGGGCTGGGTGGGGAGGGTAGGGAGGGTGGGGAGGGGCTGGGTGGGGAGGGTGGGGCTGGGTGGGGGAGAGGGAGGGGAGGGTGAGGAGGGGAGGGTGGGGAGGGGCTGGGTGGGGAGGGGCTGGGTGGAGAGGGAGGGGCTGGGTGGGGAGGGTGGGGAGGGGCTGGGCAGAGAGGGAGGGGCTGGGTGGGGAGGGTGGGGAGGGGCTGGGTGGGGGGTGGGGCTGGGTGGGGCTGGGTGGGGAGGGGCTGGTCACCCCGTGGTGCCCTTATAAAACTCAACGTTTCACCTACTCACGCCGGCTTGTGCCCGCCCTCACAGTCGGCCATATTTGCGGAATACACCACGCCGCCGTTGACCCTGCAGGCCATTGACCGAGCAACCCGACGTTCCTACCAGCTCCCTCCGCAGGAATGTGTTTTAAAAGTCTATTTAATTAAGTAGAACGTGTTGTCTATATTTATTTAAAGTTGCGCATTTCTCAACCCCCCCCCCCTCGTCACACATCGTCACAAATGTCTGACTCCCCCCCAACCCCCTAGGTGCGTGACGTCATTTATGGACGGTCCTATACTTCACCACGCTGGGCACAGGATTCCAGTGGGTTTCCGTGCACTGCCCTCTGGCGGCCAACACGCGTCAATGTGCAGCAAATACAATGTCAGGTCCATCACGAGACCTCCTTTGCCAGAATAAAATTATAATTGGGGCCGTACATAAATGACGTCACGCACCTAGGGGGTTGGGGGGGGTCAGACATTTGTGACGATGTGTGACGAGGGGGGGGGGGTAGTGTTTGAGAAATGTGACGTCACGTAAAAATGCGCAACTTTAAATAAATATAGAATTCACATTCTTAGGTTTTTCGGTAAAGTCACGTAGGTAAAAAATTAAAATTAATACAATTAAAATACAAATAAAAGAATATAATATATATTAATTTTAATTTAACATTTTTACCTACGTGACTTTACCGAAAAAAAACCTAAGGATATGAATCCTTGCAGTCACGAAAGCTTAAAATCTAGAAATATAGAATTGTTATAACAACACTAATTGTTATAACAGCACTCCTACAACATCAGAGTGCAGCACCACGTTAAATACGCACTACAATGACAATAGTTTAAAGCGATTTGAAGCATGTTTTATTTTCAAAATGGAAATATGGTTTTTTGGGGGGGGCAGAGCTTTGTCACGTCATATTTGAGGGGGGGGGGCTGACTTTGTGACGTCGTGTGACGAGGGGACGGGGTTAAAAATCGTCCAAAATCGCGTGACGTCATTTATGGACAGCCCCTTGCTGCTATAATGTGTCTATGTTGTGTGTGTCTCTCTCTGTGTCTCTGCTTGTGTGTCTCTCTCTGTGTGTCTCTGTGTTGTGTGTGTGTCTCTCTCTCTCTGTGTGTCTATGCGTTGTGTCTCTCTGTGTTTCTGTGTGTCTCTCTCTGCTTGTGTGTCTGTGTGTCTCTGTGTTGCTCTGTGTGTCTATGTTGTGTGTGTCTCTCTCTGTGCCTGTGTTGTCTCTCTCTGCTTGTGTGTCTGTGTGTCTCTGTGTTGTCTCTGTGTGTCTATGTTGTGTGTGTCTCTCTCTGTGCCTGTGTTGTCTCTCTCTGCTTGTGTGTCTGTCTGTGTGTCTCTGCGTGTCTCTCTCTGTCTCTCTCTGTGTGTCTCTGTGTTGTCTCTCTCTGCTTGTGTCTCTGTGTGTCTCTGCGTGTCTCTCTGTGTGTCTGTGTTGTCTCTCACTGCTTGTGTCTCCCGCTCTGTGTCTCTGTGTTGTCTCTCTCTGCTTGTGTGTCTGTCTGTGTGTCTCTCTGTGTGTCTCTGTGTTGTCTCTCTATGCTTGTGTGTCTGTCTCTGTGTGTCTCTGTGGTGTGTCTCTCTCTCTCTCTCTGTGTTGTCTCTCTCTCTGCGTGTGTCTCTCTCTGTGTGTCTGTGTGTTTCTCTCTCTGCTTGTGTCTCTCTCTGTGCCTCTGTGTTGTCTCTCTCTGCTTGTGTGTCTGTCTGTGTGTCTCTGTGTTGTCTCTCTCTGTGTGTCTCTGTCTGTCTCTGTGTTGTGTCTCTCTCTGTGTGTCTCTGTGTTGTCTCTCTCTGTGTTTCTGTGTTGTCTCGCTCTGTGTGTCTGTCTGTGTGTCTCTGTGTTGTCTCTGTGTGTCTATGTTGTGTGTCTCTCTCTGTGCCTGTGTTGTCTCTCTCTGCTTGTGTGTCTGTGTGTCTATGTTGTCTGTGTGTCTATGTTGTGTGTGTCTCTCTCTGTCTCTGTGTTGTCTCGCTCTGCTTGTGTGTCTATGTGTCTCTGTGTTGTCTCTGTGTGTCTATGTTGTGTGTGTCTCTCTCTGTGCCTGTTGTCTCTCTCTGCTTGTGTGTCTGTTTGTGTGTCTCTGCGTGTCTCTCTCTGTGTGTCTCTGTGTTGTCTCTCTCTGCTTGTGTCTCTGTGTGTCTCTGCGTGTCTCTCTGTGTGTCTGTGTTGTCTCTCACTGCTTGTGTCTCCCTCTCTGTGTCTCTGTGTTGTCTCTCTCTGCGTGTGTCTCTCTCTGTGTGTCTCTGTGTTGTCTCTCTCTCTCTGCGTGTGTGTCTGTCTGTGCGTCTCCGTGTCTGTGTTTTCTCTCTCTCTCTCTCAAATGTAGTTCTCCCTGATGACGATTGCTTGCGTTGCAATCGAAACGTCGTATTCCACGATTTTTTTTTTCTTTCTACGCGACTTTACCCAAAGAACCAAAGAGTAATTCCTGCAGTCACGAAAGCTTTAAATGAAGTTTGCTGATTTACATTTCTACGCGATCAGAAGCCACAGTTCGCTGCGCTGTCGTCTCTGATGGCCACGTCGCTTCTAACAAAGAAGCAAATATCTCAGTGGGCTTTACCTGATAAAATATAAATATTCCTGCGGAGGGAGCTAGTAGGAACGTTGGGTTGCTCGGTCAATGGCCAGGGTCAACGGCGGCGTGGTGTATTCCGCAAATATGCCCGACTGTGAGGGCGGGCACAAGCCGGCGTGAGTAGGTTAAACGTTGAGTTTTATAAGGGCACCACGGGGTGACCAGCCCCTCCCCACCCCTCCCACCCCCCACCCAGCCCCTCCCCACCCTCCCCACCCTCCCCACCCAGCCCCTCTCCACCCTCCCACCCCCCACCCAGCCCCACCCTCCCCACCCAGCCCCTCCGCACCCAGCCCCTCCCCACCCTCCCCTCCCCACCCAGCCCCACCCCTCCCATTTTTGGATTGACGGACGGACGGACACAATAATCCCCTGTGGGCTGGTGTAACCAGGAGGTTCCTACCAGTATAAACATTGAGCTTCTGATAAAAATTGAAAAAAAAAAAGTGTAACCTTAATGACTTTACCGAAAGAACCAAGAAGATGAACCTTAATGCAATTGACCAAACATCAACCTAGGAGGGTGTTCCCGTAAAATAGTCCTGACGCTGAGCTTTGCACAAATGCAGAGCTGCTGCTGTTGTTAATTGATTAATTGTACGAACTAACGCCACTCAAAGCTGAGCTGGTTACCTGGCATCCCATCAGCAGCCAGCAATGCACGCTTATCATTCAATCACATTAACACGCGTGCACATTCATTGAAACACATGGAATCGGAATCGACACAGCACGAATCGATCAACTCTCCACCCCGCCCCGGACTTGACCGGCGCCTTCGATTAGCGAGAATCGATTCCAGCGCCGCTATTTAAAGGCGTCCGCCAACGGCGGGAATCGACAAGCAACTAAACAAAAAAAAATCGAATCGATTCTTCCGCCTCCTCGCGCTCTCTCTCTCCCCCCTCTCTCCTAGCCGCTTGCAAAGCGTCTTCATTAGCGGTGAGTGGGGGGGGGGGCTGTGTGAAGGGGGGGGGGGGCTGTGTGAAAGGGGGGGGCTGTGTGAAAGGGGGGGGGCTAGGGGGAGGGGGCTGTGTGAGGGGGGGGGGCTTTGTGGAGGGGGGGGGCTGTGTGAAGGGGGGGGGCTGTGTGAAGGGGGGGGGCTAGGGGGAGGGGGCTGTGTGAAGGGGGGTGGCAGTTGTCTGGGGGGGGGCGGAGGCGGTGGGGGTCTAAAGGGGTCTACCGGACAGACGAAACAATCGCCGCGGCCACCCCCCCCCCACCACCCCCGACACTTTGCCCGCAATTCAGCGGGGGTCTAAAGGGGTCTACCAGACGGACGAAACAATCGACGCGGGCACCCACCACCCACCCCCGACACTTTGCCCGCAACAACTCAGCGGGGGTCTCTCTCGGGGTCTGCCAGACGGACGAAGCAATCGACGCGGCCACCCACCCACCCACCACCCCGACACTTTGCCCGCAACAACTCAGCGGGGGTCTAAAGGGGTCTACCGGACGGACGAAACAATCGACGCGGCCACCCACCCACCCATCACCCCCGACACTTTGCCCGCAACAACTCAGTGGGGGTCTCTAGGGGTCTACCGGACGGACGAAGCAATCAACGCGGCCACCCACCCACCACCCCGACACTTTGCCCGCAACAACTCAGTGGGGGTCTAAAGGGGTCTACCGGACGGACGAAACAATCGACGCGGCCACCCACCCACCCATCACCCCAACACTTTGCCCGCAACTCAGCGGGGGTCTAAAGGGGTCTACCGGACAGACGAAACAATCGACGCGGGCACCCACCCGCCACCCATCACCCCCAACACTTTTCCCGCAACTCGGTGGGGGTCTCTCTAGGGGTCTGCCAGACGGACGAAACAATCGACGCGGGCACCCACCACTCACCCATCACCCCGACACTTTGCCGGCAACAACTCAGTGGGGGTCTCTGTAGGAGGGGGCGGTGGAGGTGGCGGTGGAGATTGTGATCGAAGCGAGATGGCCGATGGCGAGGAACAGCAGCTGCAGCAGCAGGAACAACAGCAGCAGCAGCTGCTGCGGCTGCCGTGCGGCGCTGACGAGGAGCGATGGCGAGCCGTGTCACTCACTCATGTCGAATTCCCACCAGGTGAGTTGACCTCACTTTGTTGTCGATGACCTCTCTCCTATTGTCGTGGGGTCGTGACCCCCCCCACCCCCCCCCCCGTCTCTCTGCAGTGACCCCCCCCCCCCCTATGGGGCCACACACCGAGGTCAGGCCTTCATCCACGGGTTGAAGCCTCTAGGCGAGCAATGCTCATCTCCCATTGGTCGGCGGGCCGTCACGTGGTGGTGCGGGGGGGGCAGATTGATCGATCAGTTATCGATTAGCTGAGGTTGTTGGTAACGAAATTGGTTAAATTTCGATTTAAAGCTTCTTTCGTGACTGCGGGGATTCATCTTCTTGGTTCTTTCGGTGAAGTCACGTGGAAGGGAAGTAATGAAATAATAAAAATAAAACATAATAAAATAATAAAAATAAAACATTATAAAATTTCGATTTAAAGATTTCGTGACTGCGGGGATTCATCTTCTTGGTTCTTTCGGTGAAGTCACGTAGAAGGGAAGTAATAAAATAATAAAAATAAAACATAATAAAATTTCGATTTAAAGCTTCTTTCGTGACTGCAGGGATTCATCTTGTTGGTTCTTTCGGTAAAGTCACGTGGAAGGGAAATAATAAAATAATAAAAATAAAACAATAAAATACAATTCTCACGACGTTTCGGCCACAACGCAAGCAGCCGTCCTCAGATGAACCAATTGGTTATTTTTCGATGTTGGGGTTGAACGTTTTTTTTTAGGGGAGCGGGCGGGGGGGCATTCGATTTTAGGGGGTTTGTTGCGGGGATTAATTGCAACAAGGGTGGATTGTTATTAACTCGATATCGATTTGAAGCGTTCGTGACGGCAGGGATCCATATACTCTTTGGTTCTTTCGGTAAAGTCACGTGGGTAGAAAATAATAGATCACGACGTTTCGATAGCAACACAAGCAGCCGTCTTCAGGTGGAGTCTGCGTGTCTCTCATCACGGTGGCTCGGAGATGTTGACTACCTCGCCTGGTATACAGGAGGTCGTGGGTTCGATCCCAACCCTGACGATGCCTGCTGCTGCTGTATATTTGGAGTCTGCGTGTCTCTCTCTCATCATCATCACTACGGTGGCTAGGAGATGTTGACTACCTCGCCTGGTATACAGGAGGTCGTGGGTTCGATTTCCCCAACCCTGACGCCTGCTGTATAGGTGGAGTCTGCGTCTCTCATCATCATCATCAGCACGGTGGCTTGGAGATGTTAACTACCTCGCCTGGAATACAGGAGGTCGTGGGTTCGATTTCCCCAACCCTGACACCTGCTATATATTTGGAGTCTGCGGTGTCTCTCTCTCATCATCATCATCACGGTGGCTAGGAGATGTTAACTACCTCGCCTGGTATACAGGAGGTCGTGGGTTCGATTCCTGACCCTGACGATGCCTGCTGCTGTATATTTTGAGTCTGTCTCTCTCATCATCATCACATTGGCTAGGAGATGTTAACTACCTCGCCTGGTATACAGGAGGTCGTGGGTTCGATTTCCCCAACCCTGACACCTGCTGTATATTTGGAGTCTGCGGTGTCTCTCATCATCATCACGGTGGCTAGGAGATGTTAACTACCTCGCCTGATCTACAGGAGGTCGTGGGTTCGATGCCTGCTGCTGTATATTTGGAGTCTGCGTGTCTCTTATCATCATCACGGTGGCTAGGAGATGTTAAGTACCTCACCTGGTCTACAGGAGGTCGTGGGAGTTCGATTCCACGACCCTGACGCCTGCTATTATATATGTGGAGTTTGCGTGTCTCATCATCCACGTTGCCTCGGATGTTAGCTCCCTGCAGTGTGTGCAGTTTGTGTAAGCTCTTCCCCCCCCCCATCACCACCGGTTCTGCAGAGTGTGGTAATTGTAGTAGGTTTTTACCCTTTAAACTGGTACAAAACTGACACCTTTATACAAGGCATCATGTTTGCAATAACCACAACACAAGCAGTCAAAATGCAAACAAAAAGAACCAACTCTGTTTTTAGTAGTCGGTTTTTACCCTTTCAACTGGTACAAAACTGACACCTTTATACAAGGCATCATGTTTGCAATAACCACAACACAAGTAGTCGAAATGCAAACAAAAAGAAACAACTCTGATGATGATATGCACTGTCCTTGAAGTTGATTGGTCCACACCCGAGACAGCTTTTCTTAGAGCCTAGTCCCCACTGGTGTTGGACCAGATGACGCTTAAAGGCGTACAACTCAAACACAGTGCAATATCAGAGTATTGAGAGCTCGGGATAAGCATTTACACTGAGACATCTCCTTTACCAGTGGCAAAATATAGTAATAGGTTTTTACCCTTTCAACTGGTACAAAACTGACACCTTTATACAAGGCATCATGTTTGCAATAACCACAACACAAGTAGTCGAAATGCAAACAAAAAGAAACAACTCTGATAATGATATGCACTGTCCTTAAAGTTGATTGGTCCACACCCGAGACAGCTTTCCTTAGAGCCTCGTTTCCATTGGTGTTGGTCCAGATGACACCAAAAGGCGCACAACTGTGGTAATGTTAGTGGGTAGCGGTTAGCGCTACAAACCCGGCGACCCGAGTTCGATTTCGCGGTCACCAACACCAGCAGTGCTGTCATTTTTAAATCCTTTATATTAAGTTCACTCGCTTGCTTGCTTGCTTAGGACCGTGCAAATCTTTCGGTCATTTTTTAACCCACTTCCCGTGATCCAATCGAGCTGACATTTTGCACACAGACTCGTTGTGCGTGACAATTAATGTTCGTGAAAATTTTTTTCCAAAATTTTGCACTTTTTAGGACAAAAATATATTTAATTACCAATTGCTTAATGGTGCAATGCAATCATCTGACCCATAGGTGGCAGTCATCTCAAGCCAGATGACGAGAGGACTCTAGCTGCCACGCATATAAAGGATTTAGAGTGAAAAACTTTGTTTTTACGGGTTATACTTGTCCTCTTGTCGGCTTCATTTTGTTACCTTTTCCCAAATGGCAAAACAACAACAAACGCCCCAATCGCTGAAATATGACGCTGCAGAAAATCTGTCTGAACTTCAAAAAAGAATATACTATTTTACAAGCTAAGGCCCAGAGGTCGCAAACGGGTTTTGATTCCTTACCCGTACCCGGCCGCACCAGGGTCGCAAACTGGTTCCCGTTTCCGTACCCTACCCATACCCGGTCGGGTACAGGTATCGGGTACCTGATTCTGACCTCTGGGATGAAGCCGTGTTGCAGGTGCGGGTGGGTTGATTCTAGGAAGTTGAATTGTGAGAAGAGACAAGACGTTGGGAAATGAGTGGAAAACGGTGACTCACCAGTGACTCACGGCCTACCCGTACCCGGCCGCACCAGGGTCGCAAACGGGTACCCATACCCAGCCGGGTATGGGTACCCGTTTGCATAGACCACAATACCTGCAGCCATAATGTAAACAACAAACATAACTCTGACTCGGCAGGCAGTCGATCCTAACAGCATTTCCACCGCCCCCCCCTCTCCTCTCTCACTGCCCCCGTTTCTCCCGTGCCAGGGGACATGCTGGGCAAGGCGCTGGCGTGGTGCAGCCTGGCGCCCATCTTCATCGTCTTTGGCTTCGTGACCCTCATCGCCTTCAAGCGAGAGCTGCACACGGCAAGAACCTCGTCCCCTCGCCCGACCCCACGCTGTTGCCTTGCACACGCACGCAGCACTTTTACTGCACTGCCCTCTGAACCAGAGGTTGCAAACGGGTTTTGATTCCTTACCCGTACCCGGCCGCACCAGGGTCGCAAACGCATGGAGCTAGCGCGGGGCCTTTAGCATATTCAGTTTAACACGTAAGCTTTCGCGACCAATATCATCCATAATAGAGGTTACTATTTGGCTGTGGCGGGTTTTAACGACACGCATTTATGCACTCTAACCCAAACCTCTTATGCCTGTAGCATATGTTTTATAAAGGTGCCCTAAATTTTTATTTTTTTTAACGTCTATTAAAATTCGCAATTTCTTTTTACTTGCGTAGTAACGTAAATTGTATTTTTCATTTGCTACACGGCCAGATAATACGAGAAACTGCCAACCTCTTAAACACCCAGTTCGTAAAAGTTGTTGAAGGTGGTATAGTACTATAGTAATAGAGCAAGTGCAGAATCGCTGAACCGGAGTTGATACCTTTTTGAAGCATCTAGCGTCTTGAAAGTGCGGGGCCTGTAGCGCGCGTGGCTACTTTTGCTACTAGTGTAGAGGTGTTACGGAGCGCTTAACGAACACACTGGGTGTGGTTGTGCCCGTACGCCAAGAGGCGCTTACATCCACGTCCGCACCGTTGAGCCTGGGGGGCTGACACGGAGCTGGGATCCCCCACGACCCCACCCCTCAGTGGGGGAGTTGCTATACAAGGCGGTGAGCCGGAGGGCTCGGAGTTCAGTGTTCAGCCTTAACCAGCGAAGCAAGAAGACCGGCTCGATAGGCCCTGGGACTCCCCTGGATCGCTGTCCTTCTCAGGAGCGACCAGGGCAAGCCAGTGGCGTGGCCCCGAGAGCCCAGAGCCGATGCTCTTGTAAGAGCCGGTCTGACTCGGGGTGCCGTAATCCCAGCTTAACCAGGGCTGGGTTAGCTAGCCTCCCCTAGCCCGGTAGTGGAGGACCTGGGAGTAGGCTAGCCGGGTTAGAGATCATGGGATCTCCCAGTTAGACGGGTGAAGGGGCCGGTCTGGGGACTCGGGGTGCCGTAATCCCAGCTTAACCAGGGCTGGGTTAGCTAGCCTCCCCTAGCCCGGTAGTGGAGGACCTAGGAGTAGGCTAGCTGTGACGTAGAGTGTTGATCTCCCAGTTAGACGGGTGAAGGGGCCGATACCCCTTCGAGTGTCGTACATCTCGGCCTGTTATGTACTTTGTGCTTGATAAATAAGTGTGCCTCCAACTACGTCGTCCAAGTCTCCTGGAACCTACTACACCAGGATCATCCGGCACTGGGTGTTGGTGGCTGTGACCTGCCAATCTGCGTCCTCCCCATTGCGCGTCCACTGCTGGTGCGTCGTCTGTCTGGATTGTGACGCGCCCTCCCGTCCCCCTCCACCCATTTCAGATCGCGTTCATGTGCGGCCTGCTGGTGAACGAAGGCCTCAACTGGGTCATCAAGCATGTGATCCGCGAGCCCCGGCCAAACAGAGGTGAGGGCCGTAGATTCTCCCCCCCCACGCCCCGATGACCTTTGGCCTTGCCGGCGGCTATCTCCCGCCCGGCGTTTCACCAAATCCGCACGGTTGCCGTGGGTGGGGTGGGGTGTGGTGGGGTGGGGGGGTGGAGTGGGGTGTGTGGGGGGGTGGTGTGTGGGGGGTGGGGTGTGTGGGGTGTGGGTGGGGGGGGGGGGATGTGTGGGGGGGGGGGATGTGTGGGGGGTGGGGTGTGTGGGGTGTGGGTGGGGGGGTGTGTGGGGTGGGTGGGGGGGGTGGGTGGGGTGGGTGGGGTGGGTGGGGTGGGTGGGGTGGGTGGGGTGGGTGGGGTGGGTGGGGGGGTGGAGTGGGGTGTGTGGGGGTGGGGTGGGGTGTGTGGGGTGTGTATGTGGTGTGTGTGTGATGATCGAGAGTGGTGGTGCAGCGGTTGGCACGCTGCGCTATGAACAGAGAGGGTTCGATTCCCGTTCACGGCCAACACCGGTGACGATTAACTGAACCGGTGTAAAAGAAATAAAAATTAAATTTTAAAAGATGTATATTTAAAAAAAACGTCATTTGGGGGGAGAGGCGGCCGGGGTGTGTTGCCGTCCACCCGCGCGCCTCGTGTGTCCTGCCGGCCTTCGTAGGTGCCGCTCGCTAGCGACACTTTCCCCCGGTCCGTCTGTGTAAGGCTACACGTGGGGTGGGGGGACCTTTTTAAATCCTTTATATTAAGTTCGCTTGCTTGCTTGCTTGCGCGCTTACGACCGTGCAAATCTTTCGGTCGTTTTTTTAACCCACTTCTCGTGATCCAATCGAGCTGGCGTTTTGCACGCAGACTCGTTGTGCGTGACAATTAATTTTCGTGAAAAAATTTTTCAAAAATTTTCCACTTTTTAGGAAAAACAAAATTCATATTTAATTTAAAATACCAATGTGATAAAAATGAAACTCTTACTCAAGAAAAACAAGAATGAATAATAAAATAAAACCGATGCCACGCATATAAAGGATTTATAGTGAAAAACTTTGTTTTTACGGGTTAATTTTTTGAATCCTTTATATTAAGTTTGCTTGCTTGCGTGCTTACGACCGTGCAAATCTTTTGGTCGTTTTTTAACCCACTTCCCGTGATCCAATCAAGCTGACATTTTGCACACAGACTCGTTGTGCGTGACAATGCATGTTTTACACTTTTTAGGACAAAAATATTATATTTAATTACCAATTACTTAATGCTGCCATGCAATCATCTGACCCATAGGTGGCAGCCATCTCAAGCCAGAGGACGAGAGGACTCTAGCCGCCACGCATATAAAGGATTTATAGTGAAAAACTTTGTTTTTACGGGTTATACTTGTTCCCTGTGCGTTGCGACGATGCAGATTGCCGCGAGGCGCTCTTCACGGAGTACGGGATGCCCTCCAGCCACGCGCAGTTCGTCTGGTTCTTCGCCGTCTACTCCTTCCTGTTCCTCTACTTCAGGTAAGCTTCCTCTGCACTCTGGGAGAGGCGGGGGGGGGGGGGCGGTAGGGTGGGGGACCATGCCGAGGGGAGTGGGAAGAAGACCTCTGAGGGCTGGGTGGGGGGGGGGGGGTCACAGGGTAGAGGTCGCAACTGGGTACCCGATACCCGTACCCTACCCAATACTCGGGTACCCGTACCCGGTCAGGTACGGGTAGCCGTTTGCGACCCTGGTGCGGCCGGGTACGGGTACGTGTAGGCCGCGAGTCACTGGTGAGTCACCGTTTGTCACTCATTTCCCAACGTCTTGTCTCTTCTCACAATTCAAGTTCCTAGAATCAACCCACCCGCGCCTGCAACATGGCTTCATCCCAGAGGTTGCAATCGGGTACCCGATACCCGTACCCTACCCGGTACCCGGCCGGGTACGGGTACGGTGTGTGTTAGAGACACGTGGTGTGTGTCTACCCGGCCGGGTACGGGTAGGGTACGGGTACCCGTTTGCGACCCTGGTGCGGCCGGGTACGGATAGACCGTGAGTCACTGGTGAGTCACCGTTTGTCACTCATTTCCCAACGTCTTGTCTCTTCTCACAATTCAAGTTCCTAGAATCAACCCACCCGCGCCTGCAACATGGCTTCATCCTAGAGGTCGCAATTGGGTACGGGTAGGGTACGGGTAGGGTACGGGTAGGGTACGGGTACCCATTTACGACCCTGGTGCGGCCGGGTACGGGTAAGAAATCAAAACCCGTTTGCGACCTCTGTCACAGGGTGAGGGGGCAGTCACGGAGAGACCCGGGGGGGGGGGAAGAGTCACGTGGTGGTGAGGGAGGAGGGGGGGGGGGCGTTGAACGGTGTTGTACTGTAGTGTGTCTTGGCCGTGTTGCGCGTGTCAGGATGCATCACACGACAAACGCGCGCTGTGTGGACCTGCTGTGGAGGCACGTGCTCTCCGTGGCGCTGCTGCTGCTCGCAATCTGCGTCACCTACAGCAGGTGGCCCACCCAGTGCCCCACAATGTCCCACCACCCAGTGCCCCACCCAGTGCCCCCGCAGAGTGCCCCACCCAGTGCCCTACCCAATGCCCATCACCGGCGATGAATACCCTCTGGTACCCGGTGCGGTGTGTACAACAGGTGCCCCACCGCCCAATGCCCCCCCAGCACAATGCCCCCCCGCCCAATGCCCCCCCACACAATGCCCCCTCCACACAATGCCCCCCGCCCAATGCCCCCCACAATGCCCCCCCACACAATGCCCCCCCGCACAATGCCCCCCCGCCCAATGCCCCCCCGCCCAATGCCCCCCCGCCCAATGCCCCCCCGCCCAATGCCCCCCCGCCCAATGCCCCCCCGCCCAATGCCCCCCCGCCCAATGCCCCCCCGCCCAATGCCCCCCCGCCCAATGCCCCCCCGCCCAATGCCCCCCCGCCCAATGCCCCCCCGCCCAATGCCCCCCACCACCGGCGATGAATACCCTCTGGTACCCGGTGCGGTGTGTAAACACGGCCACTGGGGAGACAAAGGTGGTCAGGCATGGCGCTGGCCACCCACCCACCCACCGTGCCGGCTTTCATCGGTGCTTGCGAACGGCACTTGCTCCATTTAGTCCCGAGGCTATATGGGTGGGGAGATGGGGTGTCTTTATCTTTGTGGTGTGTGTGCGTGTCTCTGTCCGTGTGTGTGTGTGCGGCAGGGTGTACCTGCTGTACCACTCGGGCAGCCAGGTCGTGTACGGAGCGTTTGCCGGCACCGTCATGGCCGTCGCCTGGTTTGGCCTCACCCAGGAGATCCTCACCCCCATCTTCCCCTTCGTCGCATCCTGGTGAGCGCTCTCAGGCTCGCCGCTCGCAGCGTTGCAGACTAAGATTACCTCTCTACCCCTACCACCCCCGTACGGCCTTAACAGATGAATGGGGCAAGTGCTGTTAGCAAGCAGCACCTAATGAAGGCCGGTGACGTTTGTTCACCACCACCACACACCACCACACCACCACACACCACAAAGATCCCCTGTGTAGCCTTAACAGACTGTAGGGGCAAGTGCTGTTAGCGAGCACCTGTGAAGGCTGGAACGGTACACGAGGGGGTGGGTGGCCAGCACCACGCCCGAGTGCTTTTGTCTCCCCTAGTGGCAATGTTTACACACCGCACCAGGTACTCATTTGAGGCTGAGTCGACCTAGGGGAGGCCCAGGACCAGTTCGGATAATCGTCACTTGGTGTTGGCCGTGAGTGGGAATCGAACCCCCGGTCGCCAGGTTCGTAGCGCAGCGTAGCGCTAACCACTACACCACCGCTCCCCACGCACACCACACACACCCTACCAGGTTACTCATTTTTGAGGCTGAGTCTACCTCAGGAGGAGGGGGGCAGGGGGGGGGGGGAGGCCCAGGACCGGTTTGGATAACTGTTACCCGGCGTTGGTCGTAGGCGGTGATATAACTCTGGTCACGCCGCATTCGTAGCGTAGCGTGCCGACTACTGCGCCACCACTCCTGGGGCGCAATGAGCTCTCAATACTCTGATATTGCGCCGTGTTTGAGTTGTACGCCTTCTGGTGTCATCTGGTCCAACACCAATGGGGGGACTAGGCTCTAAAGAAAGCCGTCTCGGGTGTGGACCAATCAACTTCAAGGACAGTGCATATCATTATCAGAGTTGCTTCTTATTGTTTGCATTTGACTACTTGTGTTGTGGTTATTGCAAACATGATTCCTTGTATAAAGGTGTCAGTTTTGTACCAGTTTTAAAGGGTAAAAACCTACTACTATATTTTGCCACTGGTAAAAGAGATCTCGTAGTGTGGTGGCGAGGATGGTGGTGACCTCTCCTGGCCGGCAAGGCTGTCGTGGGTTCGATCCCGACCCTTGAAGCCTGTTTATTTGGTTGCACGGTCTTCTCCTGTTATTAATCCTCCCATTGTATAAACGTGAACCTCCAATTTATTTTTTGCATGGTTGGCTTACATACCATAGAAATTCAGCATATGCGCCCCCCATCTCTCTACATGCGCCAGAGGTCGCAACCGGGTACCCGATACCCGTACCCTACCCGATACCCGGCTATCCGTACTCAGCCGGGTACGGGTAGCCGTGTGCGGCCGGGTACGGGTAGGCCATGAGTCACTGGTGAGTAGCCGTTTGTCACTCATTTCGGGTAGGGTACAGGTACGGGTAGGGAACGGCTACTCGTATCCGGCCGGGTACGGGTACCCATTTGCGACCCTGGTGCGGCCGGGTACGGGTAAGGAATCGAAACCCGTTTGCGGCCTCTGACACGCGCTTAGCTAACGGCGTACCACCTTGTGCGTGTGTGTGCTACCCCTCCACCCTCCCCCCAGGCCGGTGTCGGAGTTTCTCCTCCTGCGTGACACCAGCCTCATCCCCAACATCCTGTGGTTTGAGTACACGGTGACCCGCAGCGAATCCAGGTAAGCGCACGCGCAAACAGACCACGGATCGCCCCACCCCCTACACCCCGGCTGCCTTTATCTCCCCAGTGGCGATGTTTACACGGCGCACCAGATATCTGTGAGGTTGAGTCGTCGGCCTAGGGGGGAGGCCCAGGACTGGTTGAGATGATTGCCACCCGGTGTTGGAATTGAACTCTGGGTTGCCGGGTTTGTAGTTTGGTATCGCGCTAACGGGTGCTCTCCTCCCCACTGTAACAACACACACGTGCTTGGTCACACGCGCAACGAACACCGCTACACACACACACGTCACATGCACGACAACACACACAACATGCACTCGCTTTGTCGCACACTGCATGGGCACGCGCGTACAACACATGCATGACGACAACACGCACACACGTTACACACACGCGTTACACACACCCCAACAACAGCGTTCACCACGATTTCTTTAGAAACCAACCATGCCGTACACCCATGGTGAGCATCCAACCGGTGTGGGGGGGGGGGGGGAGGAGGTGGGGGAAGAGGGACCGTGGAACGTATTCTTAGGTTGTTTCTGTAAAGTCACGTAGGTAAAAAAATGTAATTAATTAAAATAAAATAAAATCAGGACGTTTCGGGGGCAACACAAGCTTCCGTCTTCAGGTGGAACCGTTACAGCACGATGGCTGTATCAAGTAACTTAATACAGCCATCGTGTGTGCGTAGGCGTAACTTGATACAGCTGTCGTGCTGTGACGGTTCCACCTGAAGACGGAAGCTTGTGTTGCCTCCGAAACGTCGTGATTTTTATTTTATTTTACTTTTTATTAATTAAAATTTTTTACCTACGTGACTTTACCGAAAAAACCTAAGAATATGAATCCTTGCAGTCACGAAAGCTTCAAATCTAGAAGTCCTTGTGTAATATAAATAATATCCAGGGCCTACCCTGGCTCCTACCACCCTCAACCAGTATATATACAAGGACTGTTTTCTTGGAATTTCTCTTTACTTGATACAGCTATCGTGCTGTGACTTGCCACCTGAAGACGGAAGCTTGTGTTGCCTCCGAAACGTCGTGATTTTTATTTTATTTTACTTTTTATTAATTAAATTTTTTTACCTACGTGACTTTACCGAAAAAACCTAAGAATATGAATCCTTGCAGTCACGAAAGCTTCAAATCTAGAACCGTGGGACAGTCTCCACGCGACCCAGCCGATCGACCCACACACCAGTGCGTGCGTCTCCCGTGATTATTCTTTCTCTCGTCTCTCGCTCTGTCTGTCTGTCTCATGCAGGGCCAGGCAGCGCAAGCAAGGAGTCAAGTCACAGTGACGTTTCAGCCACCCACACTTCCACCGCCATCGATAAAACCGCTTGAATCATTTTTTTTTTATAAAAATTGCCGTCTGCGACAATTAATGATCTTTTATTTTTGTTTTCCAAAATTGTTAAAAAAATGTATTATTATTATTTCAGAGACGCCGGTTTGTTTTTTCTTTCTTTTAATTTTCTTTCCTTTTATCCGGGCCGGCCGCAGTGTTACGAGCTCTGCCGGTGCGTTTCTTTAGTGGTCGGGAAGTCTGCGGCCGCGGCGGTGACGGTGGTGGTGTGGGTGGCGCGGGCCGTGACGTGGGCTCCCCACGTTGGTCGAGAGGGGTGAGAGAGAGGGAGGAGGAGGGGGGGGTGAGAGGGGGGGGTCCCTACCCCCCCCCCCCACATCGTTTTGCGTTTTTTTTAGTTTTGTCATTTTGCTACTTTTCAAAGTCTCCGTGGAGGTATAACTTTTTTAAGCTGTCGGGCGCGACCACATTTTGCGTTGCCTTCATCTCTTTCTCCCCCCCCTCCGTCGCACGCCACGGTTTTGTATTTCTACCGATGGAGATGTTAGCGGCAACACCGCAAGCAGCGGCCAGTGTTGTGGTTAGGGAGGGGCGGGGAGAGTGAGGACCCGGTGTGTTTTTTGGAAGCTGTCGTTCCTGGTGGCTACGGCTGAGCTGCTCCATGCACAGCAGCCATCATTGCCGCCCCCCCCCCTCCACTTACCGGCAGGCTAACGGAGCTCGCTTTAGTAGGGACGGCTGCCACTCGCCTAGACCACGTGGGCAGCAATCCTCACCCTACCGACCAAAGTAATATGCACTAGGAGGTGCCCTAAGTTCGACCCACGTGGAAGCAATCCCATCACCCCCAGTACCGGTTGACTCGAGCACCTGCCTGTAGGCACTGGGTACAGCTGCCTGCCACTAGGGGCTCCCCTAGGCTTGGACCACATGGTATCAATCGCATCGCCCCCTCTACCGGCAGGCGAATGCACCTGGCTCTAGTAGACACAGGTGCGTAGCTACCCTAGGCTAGACCACGTGATATCAATCCCATCGCCCCCTCTACCGGCAGGCGAATGCACCTGGCTCTAGTAGACACAGGTGCGTAGCTGCCCTAGGCTAGACCACGTGATATCAATCCCATCGCCCCCTCTACCGGCAGGCGAATGCACCTGGCTCTAGTAGGCACAGGTGCGTAGCTACCCTAGGCTAGACCACGTGATATCAATCCCATCGCCCCCTCTACCGGCAGGCGAATGCACCTGGCTCTAGTAGACACAGGTACATAGCTACCCTCGGCTAGACCACGTGGTATCGATCCCATCGCCCCCTCTACCGGCAGGTGAATGCACCTGGCTCTAGTAGACACAGGTACATAGCTACCCTCGGCTAGACCACGTGGTATCGATCCCATCGCCCCCTCTACCGGCAGGTGAATGCACCTGGCTCTAGTAGACATAGGTACATGGCTACCCTAGGCTAGACCACGTGGTATGAATGACATCGCCCCCTCTACCGGCAATTGAGTGTTTGTTAAATGGGTCAACTGGTGGAATACATTGCCCCGTGGGGAGGGGCTACAAGGGTCGTGTTGTCCACCCTCACCCCTCTGTGTGGCACAGTGCCCCCGGCCCTTCCGTAGGTGCTGCTGCTGCTGCTCGCTGAACAGCCCTTGCCCCGGCAGTCCGTGGTAGGCTATGCGGTGGGGGGGAGCAACCTTTGTCTTTGGTGCCGAATGCTGCACTCTGCGCCACCTGTAACTCGCCCTCCACTCCCTCTCGCCTCCACCCAACACTCGCCCCAACACATCAGCCAGCCAGCGTTGTGCGTTTGTGGGTGCGGTGTTTAAGAGGTTTTTATTTGGGGGGGGGGGGGGTAGCGTCGTTCGCTACAACCACGAATCGTAATCGTCATCATCGCAGATCTACCATTTGCCAGTGTCGACAGCCATCGTCACCATCAACGCCACCATTCTCAACGATCATTGCAACACGATCATCTACACCACACTCTCTCTAACGCTCATCACCGCCACCACTAGCATCAACACCACACTCTACAACACTCACCACCACCACTACAATCTCCAACGCTCATCACCGCCACCACTAGCATCAACACCACACTCTACAACACTCACCACCACCACTACAATCTCCAACGCTCATCACCGCCACCACTAGCATCAACACCACACTCTCCAGTACTCGTCACCACCACTACAATCTCCAACGCTCATCACCGCCACCACTAGCATCAACACCACAATCTACAACACTCATCACCGCCACCACTACAATCAACACCACAATCTCAAACGCTCATCACCGCCACCACTACCATCAACACCACAATCTACAACACTCATCACTGCCACCACCACCATCAACACCACAATCTCCAACACTCATCAGAGCCACCACTACAATCAACACCACAATCTACAACGCTCATCACCGCCACCACAATCTCCAACACTCATCAGAGCCACCACTACAATCAACACCACACTCTCTAACGCTCATCACCACCACTACAATCTCCAACACTCATCACCGCCACCACTAGCATCAACACCACACTCTCTAACACTCGCCACCACCACTACCACCAACACCACAATCTACAACGCTCATCACCACCACCACTACACTCTACAACACTCATCACCACTACCACCATCAACACCACAATCTACAACCATCACCAACCATCCACCACCTCGATAATCGCGACCTACCACCAACGCCACCACCACCAGCCATGTGTGCGGTGGTGGCGGTGTTCATCAATCCTCCTCCTCCTGAAGTGCTCGGTGTTGTGTCCGGGAGAGGGTGGGGTAACGGGGTTTGGATCACAGAAGGGATTGCCAACTTGGCAATGTTGTACCAAATGCGGTGTTGTGTTTCTATGTAACGGGGCGGGGGGGGGGGCTATGTACTGGGTGGGTCACGAGTGGGTTGGGGGGGGGGGGTAGGTGGATGGCAGGAGCAGTTGTGATGTTGTTAAATCCATCTGTGCGACGGGAGCTCTTGAGCACATAGTTGTGGGGTTTTCTCTGGGGTGATGGGGGTGAGGGGGGGCTCTGTGGGGGGGCCCCCCACAACTTCCCTCGCTTGTAATTACATTTTTGGACCGAACGTCGCGAGATGGGAAGGGAGGGCTGCCCTTGGCAATTTACGACGGCGCCTAAGTGGTGATGATGGTGGTGTTGTTAGAGCGGCTTGTGGCTTAGCCCCGCTTGTGCCAACGCAGCAGGGATGTTGTTAAATCCATCTGTGCGACGGGAGTGTGTCTGTCTGAGCACGTGTCCACCTGAATTTTGGCCCTAACACGTGACGGAGTTGAGAATGGACCCCCCCCCCCCAATCCTTTACTCTTCTCTCCCTTCGAGCGAGACGATAAGAATCTTGAGCCTCTTGGGAGAATCTTTCCTTGGTGGTGTTGATAATAAAATGGCATTTTAAATAGACTCTTGCTCCACGTGATTTTTGTTTTCTTCTTGAAGGGACTTCCCCCTGCATCCCCCCCCCCTCCCTTCTCGAGATAAGAGCTTTGAGACCCGTGAGATGCTTTCAATTGGGGTGGTGTTGATAATAAAATGGCATTTTAAATAGTCCTGGTCCACTTGAGTCTTTTATTTTTTTAATCCTTTATATTAAGTTCGCTTGCTTGCTTAGGACAGTGCAAATCTTTCGGTCGTTTTTTAACCCACTTCCCGTGATCCAATCGAGCTGACATTTCGCACACAGACTCGTTGTGCGTGACAATTAATGTTCGTGAACATTTTTTTCCAAAATGTTACTCTTTACAGGACAAAAATATTATATTTAATTACCAATTGCTTAATGGTGCAATGCAATCATCTGACCCATAGGTGGCAGCCATCTCAAGCCAGAGGACGAGAGGACTCTAGCCGCCACGCATATAAAGGATTTATAGTGAAAAACTTTGTTTTTACGGGTTAATTTTTTAGTTTCTCCCTCTCAAACCGTTCTTTGTGACGCTCTCTCCCTGTCCGCGGGCACGGGGCCCACTCGTTCTTGGTTCATGGAGTACGTGGAGTTCCCCCCGCTCCACATGGTGGTGGAGCCTCGCTCCGATCCTTGGAAAACTCCCGCTCCAGATTGTGGCGGGTGAACGGATCGGATCCGTTCCGGGGAATTCCTACTCCCAGATTGTGGTGGGGCCTCGCTCCGATCCTTGGAAAATTCCCGCTCCAGATTGTGGCGGATGAACGGATCTGATCGGGGGAATTCCTGCTCCCAGATTGTGGAGGGTGGACCGCCTCCGATCCTTGGAAAATTCCCGCTCCAGATTGTGGCGGGTGAACGGATCCGATCCGGGGAATTCCTGCTCCCAGATTGTGGAGGGTGGACCGCCTCCGATCCAAGGAATCTCTGCTGCAGATCGTGGCTCTGCTAATCCACCACCAGCTAAATCGCTTCGTTAACTGATGTAGAAGGGAAATAATAAAATAATTAAAATAAAACATTAAATAATATATATTATGTTTTATTTTTATTATTTCCCTTCTACGTGACTTTACCGAAAGAACCAAGAAGATGAATCCCTGCAGTCACGAAAGCTTTAAATCGAAAAATAACAACGGATGTTTACACTTCATTTTTAATGTACAAACATTACATCGAATTTTTTTCAAATTTACAAACACCACTGTTTAATTTACAAACATTACCATTTTTTTTATTTTACAAAAACACCTTTTATAGATTTACAAACATTACCACACAAATCAAATTGTATTTTTGGAGAGAAATCGGAAGCACCAACGGCATCAAGCCCAAACAAGGACCATGCATCACAAAGACAAAGATCCCCCACACCCAGTGTAGCCTCAACACTGTCGGGGCAAGTGCTGTTAGCGAGCAGCACCTAATGAAGAGGCCGGCACCACGCCCGGCCGCCTTTGTCTCTCCCACAGTGGTGATGTTTACAAAGACAAAGCTCCCCCGTGTAGCCTGACCCGACTTCTCAGGCAAGTGCTGTTAGTAGCGACCAGCAGCACATGAAATCTAGCACCGTGGCACACGAGGGGGTGGGTGGTTAGCAACCACGGCCCGGCCGCCTTTGTCTCCCCCACTGAGGGTGAGGGCCGAGTCGACCTAGGGGAGGGGCTCATGACACAGTTCGGATAATCGTCACTGGTGTTGGTGGGCACGAGAGCGGGTGGGGGGGGAGATCGAACTCAGGTGACCTGCAGTTTGGAGCACAGCGGCACGCTAACCGCTGCACCACCGCTCATTCAATCCACCACATCAGATCATGCACTCATGAAATCCACCGTTCATTAATGCATTCGTTCATACCATTAAATCCACCATTCATGCAGTCATTCACTCATTCAGACCATGCACTCATTAAATCCACTGTTCATTTATGCATTCGTTCATGCAAGTCCATTCATTCAGACCATTAAATCCACCATTCATGCAGTCATTCACTCATACCATGCACCCATTAAATCCACCGTTCATTAATGCATTCGTTCATGCAAGTCCATTCATTCAGACCATTAAATCCACCATTCATGCAGTCATTCACTCATTCAGACCATGCACTCATTAAATCCACTGATAATTAATGCATTCGTTCATGCAAGTCCATTCATTCACACCATTAAATCCACCATTCATGCAGTCATTCACTCATTCAGACCATGCACTCATTAAATCCACTGATAATTAATGCATTCGTTCATGCAAGTCCATTCATTCACACCATTAAATCCACCATTCATGGAGTCATTCACTCATTCAGACCATGTATTCAATTCACCATTAATGCAGTCATTCACTCATTCAGACCATTCATTCAATCCACCATTCATACAGTCATTCACTCATTCAGACCATTTGTTCAATCCACCATTCATGCAGTCATTCACTCATTCAGACCATTCAATCAATCCACCATTCATGCAGTCACTCACTCATTCAGACCATTCAATCCACCATTCATGCAGTCATTCACTCATTCAGACCATTCAATCCACCATTCATGAAGTAATTCACTCATTCAGACCATTCATTCAATCCACCATTCATGCAGTCATTCACTCATTCAGACCATTCATTCAATCCACCATTCATGGAGTCATTCACTCATTCAGACCATTCATTCAATCCACCATTCATGAAGTAATTCACTCATTCAGACCATTCATTCAATCCACCATTCATGCAGTCAGTCACTCATTCAGACCATTCATTCAATCCACCATTCATGGAGTCATTCACTCATTCAGACCATTCATTCAATCCACCATTCATGCAGTCACTCACTCATTCAGACCATTTATTCAATTCACCATTCATGCAGTCACTCACTCATTCAGACCATTCATTCAATCCACCATTCATGCAGTCATTCACTCACTCATTCAGATCATTCATTCATTCGCTCACTCATTCACTTCAGTCTCGGTTCCCACATGCCAGACCACACAAAGTGACTAACAACGGCAAACACCATCACCGCCGTCGCCCTAACACGCACTCAATGCGCGAGCAACCTCACGTTTTGAAGGCCTTTGTTGTGTTCGTAGTAGTATTATAATTACATAGAGATATGTCGTAAAAAAATTAACATTCGGTGTATAAACAAAATCATTTGGGGGGGGCCTCCATTTGGGGGGCGTTTAAGAAGTTGATTCCGAGCACCGCCAAATCGTTTCGCTCGCACCAGGCAGACACGCAGCCGATTGGAATCATTCCCCCCACCAACCCCTCTCACCACCCACCCACCCACTCACCACCCACCCACCCACTCACCACCCACCCACCCACTCACCACCCACCCACCCCTCCCCCCACCCACCCACCCCTCCCCCCACCCACCCACCCCTCCCCCCACCCACCCACCCCTCCCCCCACCCACCCACCCCTCCCCCCACCCACCCACCCCTCCCCCCACCCACCCACCCCTCCCCCCACCCACCCAACCCTCCCTCCCCCACCAACCCAACCAGGTCGAAACTAAGTACCCCAACCCACCCACCCACTCACCACCCACACCACCCACCACTCACTCACCAACCATTCACTCACCAACCATCCCAACCCCCCCCCCACCCACCACTCACCAACCACTCACCACCCACCCACCATCCCAACCACCCACCCACCCAACCCTCCCCCCCCACCCAACCCTCTCCCCCCCCACCCAGGTCGAAACTAAGTACCCAACCCCCCCACCCACTCACTCACCACCCACCCCACCCACCACTCACCAACCACTCATCATCCACACCACCTACCAATCAACCACCCACCCACCAACCATCCCAACCACCCACCCACCAACCATCCCAACCACCCACCCACCCACCAACCACCCCCCCCCCCCACTCACCACTCACCACCACCCCATACGCCCGCCCCACCACCCACCACCCCCACCCCCCCCACCACCACTCACCACCCCCCACCCCCCCCCCACCCCCCCCCCCACTCACCCCCACCCCCCCCCACCCCCCCCCCCACTCACCCCCACCCCCCCCCCACTCACCCCCACCCCCCACCACCACCACTCAGGACCTCTCGATGGAGTCGGCGTTGTAGCAGTGCACCGGCAGGGCCCGCTCCACGGCAGCCAGCTCCTCCACTGCGCCGGCAAGCGCCGCCGCCTCGGCCAGCTGCGCCGCCAGCGCCGCCTCCCGGTGAGCCGCGGCAACCTCCAGCGCGGCGATCCTCGCCGCCAGCGCCGGGCCCTCCAGGTGGTGGCGGGCGCCGTCCAGCCGGCGCTCCAGAGCCTCCAGCAGGGTCGAGTTGAGCGGGAAGATCGGCGCTGTCACGGTTTGTGGTGGGCGGGGAGGGAGAGGTGATGGTGGTGAGTTGTGGTGGTGAGTGGTGATTATAGTGGTTTTGGTGATTATAGTGGTGGTAGTAGTGATGGTAGTGGTGGTAGTAGTGATGGTAGTGGTGGTAGTGATGGTAGTGGTGGTAGTAGTGGTGGTAGTGGTAGTGGTGATGGTAGTGGTGGTAGTGGTTGGTAGTGATGGTAGTGGTGGTAGTAGTGATGGTAGTGGTGGTAGTGGTTGGTAGTGGTGGTAGTGATGGTGGTAGTGGTAGTAGTGGTAGTAGTAGTGATGGTAGTGGTGGTGGTGGTTGGTAGTAGTGGTGGTAGTAGTGATGGTGGTAGTGGTGGTTGTGGTGGTTGTGGTGGTTGGTAGTGGTGATGGTGGTAGTGGTGGTAGTGATGATAGTGATGGTTGGTAGTGGTAGTAGTGATGGTGGTAGTGGTGGTAGCAGGGTAGTGATGGTGGTAGTGATGGTAGTAGTGATGGTAGTGGTGGTAGTGGTTGGTAGTGGTGGTAGTAGTGGTGGTTGGTAGTGGTGATGTTGGTGGTGGTTGGTAGTGGTGATGGTGGTGATGGAAGTGATGGTAGTGGTGGTAGTGATAGTGGTGGTGGTAGTGATGGTAGTGATGATAGTGATAGTGGTGGTGGTAGTGATGGTAGTGATGATAGTGATGGTAGTGGTGGTAGTAGTGGTGGTGATGGTGGTAGTGGTGGTGATGGTAGTGGTGTTGGTAGTGGTTGGTAGTGGTGGTAGTAGTGATGGTGGTAGTGGTGGTAGCAGGGTAGTGATGGTGGTAGTGGTGGTAGCAGGGTAGTGATGGTAGTGGTGGTAGTGGTGGTAGTAGTGGTGGTTGGTAGTGGTGATGATAGTGGTTGGTAGTGGTGGTAGTGGTGGTAGTAGTGATGGTGGTAGTGGTGGTAGCAGGAGTAGTGATGGTGGTAGTGGTAGTGGTTGGTAGTGGTGATGATAGTGATGGTAGTGGTGGTGGTGGTTGGTGGTGGTGATGATAGTGATGGTGGTAGTAGTGGTGGTTGGTAGTGATGATAGTGATGGTAGTGGTGGTAGTGGTGGTAGTGGTGGTAGTGGTGGTAGTGGTGGAGGTTGGTAGTAGTGGTGGTGGTGATGGTAGTGATGGTAGTGGTGGTAGTGGTTAGTGGTAGTGGTAGTGATGGTGGTAGTGGTGGTGGTTGGTAGTGGTGATGGTAGTGATGGTGGTAGTAGTGGTGGTTGGTAGTGATGATAGTGATGGTAGTGATGGTAGTGGTGGTAGTGGTGGTAGTGATGGTAGTGGTAGTAGTGGTGGTTGGTAGTGGTTGGTAGTGGTAGTAGTGGTGGTTGGTAGTAGTGATGATAGTGATGGTAGTGATGGTAGTGATGGTAGTGATGGTAGTGATGGTAGTGGTGGTAGTGATAGTGGTTGTGGTAGTGATGGTGGTAGTGGTAGTGGTTGGTAGTGATGATAGTGATGGTAGTGGTGGTGGTGGTGATGATAGTGATGGTGGTAGTAGTGGTGGTTGGTAGTGATGATAGTGATGGTAGTGGTGGTAGTGATGGTAGTGGTGGTAGTGATAGTGGTTGTGGTAGTGATGGTGGTAGTGGTAGTGGTTGGTAGTGGTGGTGATAGTGATGGTAGTGGTAGTAGTAGTGGTTGTTAGTGGTGGCCGTGGCGAGCGTTGCCGAGACGCACGCAGTCCGTCGAGCAGGCTGTTGAGTTGCTGCAAGACGTCCTTCACCACGGCAGCCGCCCTGGCGGCCTTCCCCACCGCATCGCTCGACAGCTCCTCCGCCTAAACAACAACAACAACAACAGCAACAACAACAACAACAACAACCGCCGTCAGGCACAACAAGCGGCTACGATGTCACCACGGCGCCTGTGCCAGCCTAGGTGCGCTTCAAGGCCATCGCGTGAGGTCACGTGACAGACCCAGCAGGTGCCATGGGTTGACCGACACACAAAAGACAAAGATCCCCCGTGTAGCCTCAACAGACTGTCGGGGCAAGTGCTGTCAGCGAGTAGCGCCTATGAAGGCCGGCGCTGTGGCACACGAGGGGGTGGGTGGCCAGCACCACGCCCGGCCGCCTTTGTCTCTCCCAGTGGCGATGTTTACCGCACACCGCTACACCAGGTACTCATTCGAGGCCGAGTCGACCTAGGGGGAGGCGCAGAAGCGGTCGAGGCAATCGTCGCCGAGTCGGTAGCGCTAACCGCGGCACCTCCGCTCACCGTCAGAGACGCAGGGACAGGAACTCACGGTCATGAATCTGCCTTCTCGACAGACCTGGTCTTCACCTGAGGACGGCTGCTTGCGTTGTGGCCGAAACGTCGTGAGAATTATATTATTGTGTTTTATTTTTATTATTTTATTATTTTCCTTCTACGTGACTTTACCGGAAGAACCAAGAAGATAAACACCACGTGGTCTCTGTGTCTCCCCCCCCCCCCCGTGTCTCTCCCCCCCGTGTCTCTCCCCCCCCCGTGTCTCTCCCCCCCCCCCGTGTCCCTCTCTGTCTCCCCCCCCGTGTCTCTCCCCCCCCCCCCCCCGTGTCTCTCCTTGTCTCTCCGTCTCTACCCCCCCCACCCAACATCTCTCTTGTCCGTCTCCCCCCCCCGTGTCTCTCTCCGCCTCTCCCCCCCCCTCCATGTCTCCCCTCCCCCCCCCCGTGTCTCTCCCCCACCCCCCGTGTCTCTCCCCCCCCCGTGTCTCTCCCCCCCCGTGTCTCTACCTGTCTCTCCCCCCCCCCCGTGTCTCTCCCCCCCCCCCGTGTCTCTCCCCCCCCCGTGTCTCTCCCCCCCCCCGTGTCTCTACCCCCCCCCCCCGTGTCTCTCCCCCCCCCCCCCCCGTGTCTCTCCCCCCCCCCGTGTCTCTCTCTCCCCGCACCTCGGCGACGCGCTGCTGCTCGTGCCGCTGGCTCTGCTGGGTGCGCTGCAGGTCAGCGGCGGCGCCGTCGAGGTCGCCCAGCAGCCGCCCGGCGGCGCCGCTCAGCGCCAGCGCCTCCTGCAGCGCCACCGCCGCCCCTCGCCGCAGCAGCAGCGCCGCCTGCACGCACGGAGACAGAGACACGCACGCGCACGCACGGAGACACGCACGCACGGAGACACGCACGCACAGAGACACGCACAGAGACACGCATGTGCATAAACACACACACACGCACGCACAGAGACACGCACGCGCACGCACAGAGACACGCGTGTGCATACAC